TTTACGATGTAGACGTCAGATTCTTTATTTATTTTTATCGCAATTTTAATTTCGTTTTATTTTTGTTGGAATTATATATTATGTATGATGGAATGAGCGTAAGGTTTTATTCAGATCATCATTGTTGTCATGCTAAACCAAGCGAACAAATGTATATGAATAACTTTTGATTACTAATTTTATACATATATTTCCTTAAATTAATTTTAGAAATCAATATATTGAAGAAATATGACTTTACTAGAAACCATAAAAACGAGCATTTTTTGTAAAATTTCAAATTTACGTACATATTATTAAAAATTAATATTACAAAAAATTTAAAAAAATTATTTTATGGTGGGTCAAATTTTAATATTTTTTGTTAAGTCGTATCTGGATTTTGTAATTTTTTAATTTGTCGATAAATTGTTCTATAAGTGTAGATTATCTATGCCAAATATCATAAACATATACTGAGTGATTCAAAAGTTATGAGGCACGGAAGAAATGGGCTAAATTCAAAAAAACACCCTATAACTCGGTTATAGAGGTCGCAAGACCCATACGATATGATTTTTTTGTGATCCCTGGGTGACCTCTATATAGGGTTAAAATATTTTCCTTTTCCAATGATGTATAAAGTGTTGCTTGGCCACATGTATTGGAAAAGATTTTTCGATGAATTAAAGAAAACGGGTAACCTTTTAGATGTTGTCTTATTTGTCTTTTTTCATTTTTGTAAGAAATGTTGCTTTTTGAGAGAATAATACCTACAGTCTTCTGTTCGCTATACTAAGGTAAGTACCCGAAAGTTTGACCTATTCTTAGGGGGAAATATCAATTGGTTAAATGAAATGAAAAATAATATACAACTTTTTAATTAAATAATAATGAAGAATCTTTTGTATAATTGAGAGCAGAAATAAACTTCTTCATTAATGGAGTCTAATGTGACTATTATAAACCTAATAATAATTTACACAGAAAATATGGTCTATGTATAATAAGAGGGTTATTTAGCTATTTGTTTCATGTAGAGAATTTCAAATGAAAAATAAAAAATTGAAGTTGCCAACAAAAATGAAAATCAGTCATTATCATTCAAAATATCATAATCGTCATCATCATCACTGTCATCACCATTAATTGTTATTATGATTGGACTTATTTCGTTTATTTTATTTTCACGAATCCACCAATCTTCTATTAGTTTCTCGCACTTGGATATACAGTTCCGCCACACTTCTGGAGTGAAAGTGCTTTTTGCCAAGTTTCCCGAACTGCGTCGTCACTATAACCATTAGGCCCAATATGGTTGTCATAATATTGTTTTGCTATTCCCCATATATATTCGATGGGATTAAACTGGCAATGGTACGGTGGCAGACGTAAAACTTGATGACCGTAACTTTCAATAATCTGATCCACAACAAAGGTTTTTGTTTTTGCGTGTATATTTGCCAAGCGTAATAATTCTGATTTTAATATATATTGAGGAAACGGTTTATGTTCCTTTGTCAACCATTCTTTAATTTTATCAACAGTCGAAGAATTCGTTGGACCTTTGTTTAATACTTCAGAATGGTAAGATGTATTGTCTAAAATAATTACACTGGGCTCACTTAAACCTGGGAGAAGTTTTTCATGTAACCATTTTACAAACATTTATGTGTTCATATTATCGTGATAGTCACTGGATTTTGATTTAGATGAAAATATTAAATCAGCGACTTCTATAAATTCCGATTTCCCTTCTCCATCGGTATGTTTAATGTACTTTACGTTATCATCTTGCCATATTCTCTTGGTTGCACCACTAGAAAATATCCATGTTTCGTCTTAATATATAAAATTCGTCTCTTCTTCTTTAAATTTAGAATATTTTCTTAGAAAGTTAATTCTCTTGTGCATGACAGAACTTCTTTCACAAAGGGCTTTCCGTTATTCTTCTTTAGAAATTTGAAACCCAAGTTATTTATCACTTGCCATAGACTTGTTCTGCCAATGTCATCAAATTTTTTATCTATTAATTCCGAGAGAATTGTATTTAAGGTCACATGTTCCTTGTTGGCCTTCATTCGATAAATGGTATCACGAATTTCTATTTTCTTTCCATCTCGAATATCTTTCGTTTTCAATGATGGGCGAGTGTTGCGGTGATCTTCTTTCGGCAGTTCATAGAGCATCGCATACGCGTTGTTGTACAGACATTACCGATTTTAAAGGACCGCCATTTTCTTTTTCATCCGTAAAATACTTGTGTACACTACAAATTAGATTATCTATATCTAACACACGTCTAGGCATTTTTAAAATTTCCACTAAATTTACAATATACGTACAATATTTGTAACAAATTTTGTTAATCCGAAACCCGCGTAAGTATAGCGAACAGACTGTATACATGTGTTTGGAAATCTTTAGAAAGTCCCTGAATTCCTTTGGATAAACACCTTAAAAAAGACTGATTCTTTTTCTCTATTTATATATAGGTAAGTAAAATAAAATATCTTCGAAGCCAATAAATACCTTTTGTTTGCCACAAGAAACTGGTGTTTTCCGAAAAACAAAAACCGAAAAATTTACATAATCCGACCTCCAAACATTCAGCGGCTGATTTCTTTGTATTTTAATTTATCTGATTTATTGCAAACGGGGAAACTCTGGTCAAGCTTTTGGAATACATTTGCATAAAAAAAAAACACCGACCCGAATGTAAATAGGTTAGAGAACGCTGAAATTTAGACCTCCAATTAATGTATTGTTTCTTTTTTTAAGGAAAATTATGGATGTAGACAGTAAACCAAGTCTTTGTTCATTATAATATACTTTTTAAAATTTAAAGCCCACAAAAACATTGTCGTAACACACCTACACTTTACAACAAACAAATACTTGTCTTATCAAAATTTTACTAATTATATATTTTTTCATGATTAGATAATACGTTAGCTAAATACAATGTGAAATGTTTATTGTTTAGGATTACCACATTTATAATATCTAAGAACTTCTATTTAAATTTTTTGAGTAGTGGTTTACGTCCTAAATGCATTTTCTAATATTGACAAAATGCTTTACTTTATGTAAAATATTATTAATTTTCTAAAAAATTTACTAATAATTAGAAAAAACTAGCTACATCCTTTTTTTTCCTATTTTATATATCGTTTATATAATTTCCCTAAAATAATCTTCATTTTTTAAATTATACAATGGTACTTAGAACTGGTACTGTGGAAACAATTCAGGTACCTGTTTTGCTTGTATTTAATTGAACAGTAAGTAAACTACATTCACATATGAATGAGTGGAAAGGATGTGGCATCGACGTTGCTAGTTACAGGACGGTAGCGTGCTCTTTATACTTGATTATAGCGAAAGAGCTATATAAATAAAACCCACCGATAATGATTTAGTAACTTATATATATAGAGCTTTCTTAACGAGGAAGAGTTGTCCATAGTGAGGGCATGCCATCTTTCAGAGGAGGCGTAAAATCGTAGGTAATTTGGGGAATTTTGGAAAAGATTGTTGCAAGATTTTTTTAATGAAAGTAACTTCAATATCCGACACTACATTGAGTTACTATCTATGTATAATAATTAGAAATCTTCGTATGATCGATATGGAAACTACAATTGATCGATGTAGCTCAAAATTTAACTTAAAATATTCAGTATTTTAATATTTGTAATATACTTTTATACGTAATTGCTATTTTTACCGCACAAAGATCAAAAACGGCTTTATTTTTTATTTCCCTATTGATGAGAATATAATTTTCTAATTTGGAAAATTTGGTGGATGCCGTAGAGCACCCACCATATTTTTAAAAATCCTAAAATCAATAATAAAGATCAAAAAATCTTCATACACTCTTAAGCAAAAGTAATGCATTTATTATTTAATTATTTAAAAAATATATTTTTACGTTGTTATTATAAATATTTTACCGAAATATGTGCCTAACAACAAATATTAAAAATATGTAATTAACTTCATTTATGCTAGAGTCTCATTTATTGAGTTAAGTCGGACTTTTGACCTGATTAGCCACTGCTTACTGTTGAAAAAATTGGAACGAATCAATGTAAGAGGTACGTACCTACTTCTAATGACTGGATAAAAAGTTATCTTCATGATCGCCAAGAAGTAGTGGTTTTCGAAAATTACAGATCAAGTAAAAAAATATATACTGCTGATGGATCCATATTTGAGACAGTATTTTTCATTACGTTTATAAATGACTCATGTAATACTAAACTAATGAGATAATGAAAAGTTTCACAGGTCTAGTTATTAATCCCTCATAAACATTTTTATATATTTTGTCCCAAAACATGCTTCAGTTATATTATAAAACTAAATAAATAGATTAAGCAGGTTCTAAGTTTTTAGAAACAACCATTGACAATAAAATAACATCGATTATCATAAAATATTTAGTTGTTTCTTTTTTTACAAACAAATTAAAAACACAGTTTTTTGACTTTCCTAAAATAATCAGTAGTTCTGTCCTATGGTCTGATATATTTGGGACCACCCTCGTTTACGCAAAATGCGCTTATATTGCAAAAAAATATAGGGACAATGTTTCGCTCATTACAAAAAAAAATATTCAAAATAAATTTTTGACTTTACTTTGTTTATACATAGTAAATACATTTTTACCTAGAAAAACCATCTTCACTAAAAGCAATTTTGACGTACATAACTATGGTACAAGGAATTGTGTAAATTTACTCAAGATTTAGTGTTAACAAAGCTTTGAGTATTCTGGGCCATTTTGATAATCTAAAGATTCTAATGAGTTCAAAAAAGGCATCAATTTGTTAGAAAATGCGTTTTGCAATATTGAAACTTTTCTCAATTAAAAATTGATATTTATCTACAGAATAATATTTATTACATTATTCAGTTTTTTTACATTTACTGTATTTTTACTTAATACAAACAAAAATAAATAATAACCGCTGTTTTCCTATTAAATTTAATTGTATGTTCATTTATTGCAGGTATGTGAGGAGCAAAAGTGTCAAGACGAAGTATTTTGTTTAGCAATGAACTATATGGACAGATTTTTAATGTGTTGTTCTATAATGAAAAACCAACTACAGTTATTAGGAACCACGTGTATGTTATTAGCATCGAAATTACGAGAATCCAGGCCACTAGCTGGCGAAACTTTAGTGTACTATACGGATCATAGTGTCACGAAAAAACAACTTTGGGTAAGTCAGAAATATATTTTCTATTTATTCGATTTTTTTGTTACCTAATTTTTTACAAGAGTATCCCAACATGTGGTCACTGCGTGGTAAGAGAATTATTCTGTATTCATCCCTTTTTATTTAGTTCTACAGGTATAACATCCAATTACATAAATAAATATAATGCATCATATAAATATTTACACACAAAAACAAAAGAAAATAGTTACTTTGAATGGAAGTGGCAACCACTTTTTACTTTAATAAGTAAAAACAAGCAATTAGATCAATTTTTCTGGTTTCTACAAGCTGCTAAATTGCTTATTACAATCGTTGATAAAACTGGTACCTAGTTTTCATTAACAAAACATATAACTGGATATCATGATACGAACCCGTTTTTTCCTTTTTTAACATTGTTTTTCCGTTAAAATTAAAATGTTAGAAACGTGTTTTGTAATACACTATTTCAAATAATGATAATATGGGTTTGATGACTTTTTAACATTTCGTTTCTCGTTTTAATTTGCTTAAAATGAGTGAGAGCACTAATACATATCTATATTTATAAAAAAAATATACTGAATTTTGATATTTTTGGCTATAATTTATTTTATCGTTATCCAAACTTCTTAATTGTATATACTTATATCATTGACAATTAAATATCCAATTCATTAATTTATAACTAAGTTATAACGTATAATTTTTTCATAATTAAATATCTCATTTATCTTTTAGAGATTAAAAGAGGTAAAAGAGACAAAAATGTTTTAATGAGACGAGAATAATATAAAAAAATGTGCTCGAGAATAAATAATCGAAATTAATTAATGACTATGCAAATTGATTAAAAATTAATTCAGAACCTTCTTTCCGGAGACCTTATAAACAATTTACACTTGGCAATGATGTATGAAAATGTTTATAATTGTGTGTGTTGGTTGGTGAAAGTTGTTTTTAAACTTAAATTCCTATTTATTATACAGTATTAAAGGACAGCTGTAATAAATAAACAAAATACAATAACATACTTTGCAAATAATTTTTATCAGCACATTTCACTGGACTAAAATTGCACTAGTTAGCACATTTTCTAAATTTTTCATCGCATATTATGTCGGAAACATATGACTAACATACAGGATGTCTTGGCTATAGGATAGGCATTTGCAGGTCAAGCAATTGAAATTAATACTTTATTTTAATTATTTGCTTTATATCGTTATATTAAACGATAACCAGGCATTACAATCCTTTTTAATTACTTGTCTTTCGCCGATAGTATATCCTTTTTCGGGCCGTTTATTTTCGTCAACAAGTCCCCTCAATTTCTTTTTAATTCAGATTTGGTTGTTCTATGCTCATCCCTTTGTGAAAATCGCCATTGAATTCATTTTACGTTTTTTAAATTTCTTCTGAAAACATTACATCTTTAAAAGGACTATACTAGGTAATAAACTGTATTGCTAAATGTTCAACATTTTCGTATATTTCATTAATTATTTCTACATCCAATTTTTGTTTGTTGAGCGATATAAAAGGCTTTAAATTGTTTATACTTTATATATTCTTTTGATGTATGTTGTACACACTGCGCTGGTGTTCTTTGACCCCAAATACTGATCTACTTCGTTTAAAGTTCTCATATTGTCATTTTAATAATCTGTAAACCTCAAAAATAAAAAGAATATATAATAAAACAGAATTTATTGAATATATTATAATTTTTCTAAAAAAAAGAAATATTAGTAAAATTATTAAATAGAAAACAGAAAAGCTCGAAGCAGGAAAAACACATCATTATTATTATCATCAAAAGCGTTTTTGTACTGTGTGGGCAACCGCTTGCCCACGATATCAAAATCAAACCTCAGTCTTCCGTGAAAAGTTTAATTGATTGTCTTAAAATATATGTATTTTTTTTGCGTGATAGAGTTATCGCATTGCTATTCCGTTTATTTTGGCGCTCAAACAACACAATGCTTTTCTGAATTCAATACGCAGGCGCAAACGCGCGTAAATCATTGTGATAAATCTTCAAATCGGAATAGTTGGAAGCGACTTTAAAGCCTTAGTTTTTGTTCAATTTTTTTTTTAGATTGTCAACAGGTTTGTAATATTGTACAAATCTTATGCTTTATTTATCCTAATTTTTGAGTAGCAATAATGGCCCCTACTTTATTTTGGAATAATTTTGTTGTTTCAATTTGTCTCTGCGAAAGAATCAGTTATTATATACGAGGGCTATTTGAGAATTAACGTCATGTTGATGTAGCCCAGGGATAATCCTAATTAGGACTATCATCGATTTCATCTATTCTTCTCGTTGGCATCTGAGATTGCAGCATATGCATGAAGAAACGTTTTATCGATATCTGAAGTTTTTCCATAGGGAATCACCTGAAAAATGATTTTAATCTTTTTTAAATACCTTTTATTGGAAAATAAAATGAGTGAACTAAAATGTTTATTTTATAAGATCAGTCCCAGTTCAATACATAATATAACACAGATAAAATTAATAATATAATCAAAGCTAAAACAATACACATTATGTAATAGGTACAAAAAAATGATAAAGTCAAATTTTTTAAAATTATCTAATAGGTATATCAGTACCTCGTAGGTAAACTGCGCTATGTCATTCTAGTCTACTTTTCAGTAGATCAATTTTTAAATATATTAATTATATTTCGACAAGAAATACAGTTAGCCCCAATTATTGTCACAATATGTATTGTTTACTAATAATCTAACTAAAACTTTTAATATGCATGAACTGTTGGTTTTTGTAACATATTTCTATGTTCTGATAACAATTTTTCTATGATATAGTGTCATATATTCTGCTCTAGTATCTATATAAGCAGCCAGTGGAGTTCTTCAGGGATCTAATTTAGATCCCTTGCTTTTTCTATTATTTATTAATGACATGTGTGATGAAATTAATACTAACCAATTAATATTCGCTGATGACTTGAAATTATACGCTTTTATTTCTACTTTATATGATTGTGTGGTATTACAGATTCAGTTGATTTATTTAGAAAATTGGTGCCTCAAAAATAGATTATATTTGAATATTAATAAATGTAAAGTAATAACTTTTTCACGCAAATCAGGGATCTTGGAACTATTTTTGATGGCAAATTAACGTTTAATAATCATATTAACCAAATAGTTAATTCAGCTTACCGTGCATATGGATTCATTTGGAGAAACTTTAGAAATATTTCGATTTTAACATCTCTCTACTTTAGCTTGGTTAGATCTAAATTAGAATTTTTATTTTGAAGTCCCATATATTTTTAGTATATGCTATTGATTGAGAAGGTTCAAAGTATTATAAGTTAAAATTGATGGAGTTTATCCTATTAGAGGTATGGACTAAATAATTTTGATTTTGTTTCCTTAGAAAAACGTAACTTCCTTAATAATAAAGTTGATAGCTTTGAATTGTTATATAAAATTGATTTTCAAGTTCCTAGATTGACTTCTAGGCATAATATATCATTTCAATGTAAAGAGCTTAAACAAATTTAATGCAAGTCTCCAATAAATGTGTAGTAATGCTAATAAGATATCTGAATTTTGTGATATATTTTGCTGTACCATATGTGAACTAAAAACAACAAAACTCGTGCACACCTTTAGTTTGTTTTTTGGCTTTTTTTTTAGTTTTTAGTAGATATAACATTATTTTACTAATAATAATTGAGAGTTTATTTTATTCTATATTTAAATTCTTAACTAAATAGTTTGAATAGGGCAATTTTTTTGCAATATTTAATGTACTAATCCGTAGTTCTGTACTGATATTTAAATTTAATTTAACTTTTATTCTTAAGTTCTTTTTATCTGATATAAATTTGAGACATAAATACGTTAAAAGGTCCTTAATTAAACCTATTTTTGAATAATAATATTTTTAAATAAAATTAACTAGTAAAAATGTTAATAAAAACACGTTTAAAACTCAAATATATTATTAGGAACAAGATTATTAAAAAAGATGCACTAATAACTAAATATAAAACGAGTATAAATACCCTTAATCATAATACTAATACAAATACTATATCTTGACCGGTACAATAGCACTCAAATACTTTACTATATTAGCGTTGGATTATTTAATTAATATCCATCCAAAAAAGTTGCTAAGCGGATAAAAATAAATTGAAAAATATAAAAACGAAGGATAGTTATCTTGGTGCCAAAAATTAAACAAATCACCATTTCGGCATGTTGTTTGAGTTATAATTTACAATGAATTCTTAAACAAACATCCATATCAGTTCGTTACATTTCGTTAATAAATAAAGCACTATTTTAGACCGGATTTTTTCGTCGATAAGACGTAAGGGTCAGAAAACAGCTGTTTTCGTTTTATATTTAACCGTTCCTCATATTATCTTCATTTCATTCACGGTTTCATACTGAATTTTATCACGATTCCTCGAATTGTTTGCTTTAATATTGTGTACTGGTGATATAAGTAAATCTGTTCATTCATTCTTTTAGATTTAATGTGTCTGGCGTCTAAGGTTTAAAAAAAACGGCATTCGTAGATTAGCTAAACGTATTTATTCTGGTTTTGTTTTATTTGGGTAAACTACATTCTATGTAGTTAGGAATTTCCTGGTATAAGTATCATTCTGCAATATTGTTAATTCTTAAACAAACTAGTTATTTCATCAGGATTGTTTAATAGTTAGTCAGTTCGTTAATATTAGTTTTTAAATTTTAAAATTTTTTACTATTATAATATAATTATTGTTATTAAAATTTATTTGACGTTTAAGAATGACAGCTATATAGAAAAAATATCTGTGGTTTCATAGTTGACAAGCGTGGATATTTAGTAAACTTGTGAAATCAATCACAGTCACATAAGTCACATACTTTGATTGATTTTCTCTTACTATAGAGATAGAAAACTCCGCCATTTTGATGCCTTATTACGTGTTGCCTACTTCTTGGCGCAATATTTTTAATAGGTGCGTTTTAATCATCCG